TAAGTCAGAACCAGCAGTTCTTCAGAGAAAACACTGAATCAGACACCGCGGAACCTCTATGAAAGTTCAGCCTTTAAAGACGGTGAAGAAGCGTACAGAGAATTCATGGTTGTTATGGTGTGGCGTAGAGTAAAGTTACTGGGTGAGCGATAACGGGGGGCTGGGGGTTGGGGGGCTCCACTCTGGGCCCTGTAGACAGTGAGGACACAGTCCTCCACCCAAACACTCCGTCTTCTTCTGAACTTCAGTCATACCGTTGTCATGTCAACAGGGTCAGAAGTACAAGTAGTACTTCCTAACTTGAGACGATAACAGAAAAATACTCTGTTACAGTGTCACAACAGCCGTACACACAGGGAGAACAGGAAAACTCCATACACACCGAGCAGCAGTTTGGGATTGAACATTGACCGTGTTGCTGTAAGGCAGGGACAATGGACACCCTCCACCCTGTGCTGCTCGTCACGTGACTCCTCAGTTTGTTATTGTTTTCATGCAGTTCCTTCGTGGTCCACGGTGACGGTCCTGAACCAGGGCCGAACAGCATCCAGGCGCTGCCACGTAATTATGGGAGCAGAGGGTGCGAGTCCGCCCTCTGCAGGGAGGGAGGGGAAGAGAGCGAGCGTGAGAGGGGGGGGGGGGGGGGGCGCGCCCCCCCGCGGCGGGGAGGGAGGGGAAGAGAGCGAGCGTGAGAGGGGGGGGGGGGGGGGGGCGCGCCCCCCCCCCCCCCCCCCTCTCACGCTCGCTCTCTTCCCCTCCCTCCCTGCCGGGGGCGGGCCCGCCCCCGGCAGGGAGGGAGGGGAAGAGAGCGAGCGTGAGAGGGGGGGGGGGGGGGGGGCGCGCCCCCCCCCCCCCCCCCTCTCACGCTCGCTCTCTTCCCCTCCCTCCCTCCCGAGGGGGGGCGCGCCCCCCCGCGGCGGGGAGGGAGGGGAAGAGAGCGAGCGTGAGAGGGGGGGGGGGGGGGGGCGCGCCCCCCCGCGGCGGGGAGGGAGGGGAAGAGAGCGAGCGTGAGAGGGGGGGGGGGGGGGGGGCGCGCCCCCCCTCGGGAGGGAGGGAGGGGAAGAGAGCGAGCGTGAGAGGGGGGGGGGGGGGGGGCGCGCCCCCCCGCGGCGGGGAGGGAGGGGAAGAGAGCGAGCGAGAGAGAGGGAGGTTGGGGGTGCGGCACTAACCTCCTCCCTCCTTTGCGCATAGTTGCAGCTGAGCAGTTTTGCGCACACACGGCACAAGGAGCTCCAGGCATCTGGTCGTCATCTCCATCACCTCCTCCTTTACCTCCTCCTCCACCTCCACCATCAGCAGCAGCAGGAGCAGCAGCAGTTCTTCCTGATCACATGTGACTGTCCATCAGAGACTGAAGAACGTTTCTTCTTCTCTGTCTCTCCGGGCCGCAGGAGGAAAGAAAAGAAAAGAAAAGAACCGAAGAAGAACTTCCGTCTCCAGTTTCTTCCCGCTCCCGCTGCATGGATTGGTTGTAGAGGGGAGTTTTTTCGGGAGCAGCAGGAGAGGAGAAAACTTTATCAGTCGGAGTTTGGTTCGTTGTCTCCTCCACCTCCACCACACCTCCACACCCCGGGTTGACTTTGGGATTTGAACAGACCCAGGCAGTGCTCGGTCCAGCGGCTACTCCACGGACGCGCTGCCGCCAGTGCGTTTCTGTATGTGAGGATCTACTGGACCCTCTCCTCCTCCTTCAACCTCCTTCTTCTACTCCTTCTCTTCTCTCACCCACTTTCTCCCCCGCTGTTGCCCGATTGCGTCATGACTTCTAGCTATGCGCATGTAATGGACAGACAAGCGACGTTATCTAACCGCCTGGAGAGTCCGATCACGTCGAACCTGGACAACCTGCAGGCCAAGAAGAACTTCTCCGTCAGCCACCTGCTGGATCTGGAAGAGGCCGGGGAAATGGTGGGCAACCAGGCCGACGAGAGCGTCGGAGAGGCGGGCAGGAATATGCTGGAGTCTCCGGGTCTGACCAGCGGGAGCGACACGACCCAGCAGGAGAGTGAGTGAACACAGAGATGAAGCAGGGGCCTGTGGGGGGAGCTGGGGGTGTAGGTGCTGTGGGGGGTGTTGGGGTGTTAGAGGTGTAGGTGCAGCAACTGAAGAGTAACTCCACTGGCTGTAGTCCTTAACTGTTGATCACTGACCTGAGCCCATCATGAAACTGCAGTAATTAAAGTTTTAAAAACTACAGTAAATCGTTATTTGCTGTAGTAGTGAGTGCAGTGACAGGTCTCCACCTGTGATCGCTTTAATCACAGTCTTAAAAAGTCGTAAAACACTGTCGTTCAAAGACATTCAGCGGTGGCTTCTGTTTTCATCTGGTCGCTGTTTGTTTGGGTTTTTGTTGTTACATTTTATATATATTTTAGAAAAAACAGAATTTACAGGAAGCTAATTAAAAATATATTCTGATAGTTTTATATTTCTGGGCTCTTGTTTATATTGAAGCCTGAAGTTTCTGGGTTGATTTGCGTAAGGAAGGAAATAATAATAATAATAATAAAACCTCACCATGGTGACCACTGCTGTGGTTTTCTAAGTCGTATGAAAAAAATCACTGGTGAAAATGTAACGTGTGTGAAAGATATATTTTAAATTCTGAATCTGAAGCTGAGCTAAAAAAAATATTAGAGAAACAAAAAAGAAAAATATCATTCCGTTATTATAAAATATCATCATTCCGTTATTGTGCATTTAAAAAATGCACAAGAAACAGACAAGAAAAAATCCAAAATAGTATGAATGAAATAATAAATAAATGTAATTAAAATAAATATAAAAAATCAAATTAGAAAAATGTAAAAATTCATTTGTAGATTATTATAATTTTATCAAAATAAGACAAAATAAATCTCAACTCAAAACAACGTCTAAAAATTATTTATTTTAATTTGATAGATTTTAATTTGACAGCGGTGTAAACAAACACAAATGATGTCATTGTAAAAAAAAAACAGAAAATTAAATCTTTCGTTTTATCAATTTTTCGAACAGCTGCGAGATGAAGATGAACTCTGGTTTGTCCCGGTCAGTGAAGGCGTCACCCACTCACACGTGACCGAAGTCTGTGTGAATAATGTTTTTATTACTTTTTATTTATTTATTATTATTTAACTGTTTCATCCAAACAAGAAACAAAAAATGAACGTTTTCGTTTAGATGTTGTTTTAATTCTACAGATGTTCAGAAAGTCGGAAAAAAGATTCAAATTCATTTGAGTCTGAACTTTTGATGATTTTATATTTTAGACTGAAAATCTTCAACCGTTCGTTTTCAACACCTTCAACTCTGAATAGATTATTTGAATAAATCAATAAATGAATACAGTAAGAACGGTTCTCAGTGACCAGGCCGTTCCCCGTCAGAACTCTCCTCTCTGCTCCTCTCTGCTCCTCTCTGCTCCTCTCTGCTCCTCTCTGCTCCTCTCTGCTCCTCCAGTGTTTCTCCTCTTCAGTTGTGTCACGGAGACAGATGGAGCTCCAGGTCCTCCTGAGAGTGTTTGACAGGAGGAAACCGGAGCAGATTAACGAGCTGACCTGGACACCTCCTCCTCCTCCTCCTCCTCCTCCTTTTCCTCCTCACAGCAGATTTTAGAGCATTTTTAAAAAATAACAATAACACTCATTAGAGCCTATAACGTTTCTGTCAAGATCAACAAATGAGTCTGAGAGTGGGGGAGGAGGAGGAGGAGGAGAAGGAGGAAGGAGACTCTGTGGTGCGTAAAAATCGATACTTTTTACGCGTTTTCGCCGACGTTAAAAGCGGGAGTTGCTGCGAGTTCCATGTTAATTAGAGAGAGAGATCGCGGTTCTTCAGCGGCCTCTCTGAGAGCAGGTTGTCCGCCTTTGAAGCCCCGAGCTCGGCCACAAACTCTGGAGTCAGTTTACGAACAGAAAAAGAAAAAAAACCCAGAAATTTCCTCCAATTACCTGTAGAAACAGACGAACTGGATAATAAGCAAAGTAACATCAAATATTTTCATTAAAACTTCACTTCTTTTTTTTTGCGTTAAACGTAGAAATGTATATATATATTTCAAACAACAACTAAAAGATCGATTCTAACAACAACTGTTACAACAGTTGTTTTTTATTTTCCTTTCCATATTTATATTTTTATCCTTTACATCTTCTGTTGAGAAGAAAAGTGAAGGATGTTTTTATATATTTTCTGACGTGAAGTTTAAATCGAAGGTTCTAAATTAGTCTGTAAAAATGCGGAAATAATAATAAAAACAAAGAGAACATAAATGTTCATGAAATGTGAAACAATTCCTTCATTTATTTATTTAAAAATAAAACAAATTTAAAAGGTTCTTTAAATTGAACGCAGACGGAAAATGTGTTTATTTGAACTTATTTTTATTTATTTTCATTTGTTTGTCCTGCGGTGTTTTCTGCCGCGGTCACGTGATCTCGTTTGACTCAATCAGAACAGAAACATTTTAAACTTTAATCTGAGATTAAACTCCAGTCACTGAAGGCCTCGGTGAGGGAAGAAGTTTTATTAAATTCACCAGTTTTATTAGAAAACATTAGATTCTTAGATTCACGGAGGAAAATGTCTCAGCCGGAACCACAGTTTGAGGAACACGACTGTAAAATAAATCACAATAACCAGAATAACTCAAACTAATACACCATAATCATAACCGTGGCGGGAAAAATTAAGAACATTTATAAAAAACTAAACATGTTTATCATCGTTCTTTTTATTTAAGTATTTTGGGTTTTTTAAATTATTTCTCTGATTCTGCTCGTGTCTCCGCTGAGTCTGATTTTTTGACGTTAACGTGACGTGTTCATTGATGACGATTGAAAACTAAATCAAACTTAAAAAGAAAAATCAGTTCCTTCTTACTTTTTCAAAAATGTTTTTCTGAGCGCAGTGAATTTCAAGACTTCACAGAGTTTTATCCAGTCAAACTCTCACGGTTTCAATATTTCACCCTGAAGGTTTAAGATACATTTTAGTTCGTTTTTAGGCAAAAAAAGGAAAAAAAGATTTATTAAAATATATATATATATATGTGTGTGTGTGTATATATATATATATATGTATATTGTATATATAATGTAAATTTAAGGAAGTATTTGTAAAAAATATATATATAAAGACTGTTTAAACAAACTGTTTAATTCTGTGTCTAAAAGTCAAATATTATAAAATATAGAAACAACAGTCTAAAAAACAACGTTCTAAATGTTCCTTGGTACTGTTGTCGTACAGGCTCCTCTGTGTTTTACTGTCACACGTCAGAAATATTTACTTTTTAAAAAGAGAGAGAAAACATTTTACTGATGTTGTTTTTTTTATTATTTTCAACACAGAAAATATCATCGTCTCATTATTATCAACATTAAAAATATGAGGTGAGTTGTTGTTTATGGACCGGGTTTGGATCAACAGTGATGAGTTGGGTTCAGGACAGGAAGTCAGCGGCGGTCAGTTCAGTTCAGTTCAGTCCATGTTTTACACAAAGCCATATTCACAGTGAGATAATTACTGTTAATTATTATTTGTCAGCTTTAATTGTAATAAAATGATCACCAATATTTACCAGGATAAATATCAGTACTAACTTTATTTACTCCGCCAGTTGATCAGGTCGGCGGCGGGTCAGTGGGTGCAGTCAGTCAGGGCGTTCGATTCCAGCTGTGTGTTAATGTGACCCTGAGAGTGACATAAACCTAAACCTCTGAGTCCAGTCAGACCTCGTGGTCCTGGACCGCTGTGGTCGGTTGCATCAGAAACAGAACCGGGTCCAAGAACATCAGAGCTGATGAAAAAATGAAGCAGAAAAAAAAGATTCAAATTCAACAAAAACACTGAGATTCTGAGTGTTGGAGGTCAGAGGTCACATGACAACAGTCCACAGTTCTACTCTGGCTTTGAACTGAACTGGGTTCATTCTTTTTTAAAGTTACAGTTAATTCTAACAAAGTCATGTTTCTAAATTCATCCCTGAAAAATATTCTGTTGAACTGATCGTTAATTAAATGTTTAGATTAAGTTTGAAGTGAATTTCTCTCCACCGCTGTTTGTTGGGTTTATTTTAAAATTCTTTATTAAAATAAATTCTCTTTAATGATTTAATGGTGCGGTTAACCCGGTGAGTTAGGTCATGGAAGATGTTGTTGAATTTGGTAAAAAATATTTTTAAAAACAATAAAAAAAGAAGAAGAATGTTTGTTTTTAGGAAAAACAAAACAAAAAATCTACAACAACAACGTTTAAAGTTTGAAGCAGTTTTTTTCTGGGAGTAAAATGGATGATGTTACTGCAGTGTGTGTGTGTGTGTGTGTGTTTAATTAGCAGTGAACTGGGATGAGCTCAGTATGTTTTTCCCTGTGAAAGTGTTAGTTTGTGGCTTCACTAGTTGCCACAGAGAAACAGTTTCTCTCTCTCTCTCTTTCTCTCTCTCTCTCTCTCTCTCTCTCTCACACACACACACACACACACACACACACTGTAGCTTCAGGCCCTTAGAACACTGTGATGTTCAACTTCTTCATTCTCTTCCCTGTTTGTAAAAAAAGCTACAAATAAACAAATGTTTTCAACAGTGTTCAGACCACAGAGAGTTTCAACCAATCAGCAGCAGCAGAGTCCCCCACCCACCCACCCACACCACCCCTCTACCCCGTATTACTGCACTTCTTTAAAAAATGAACAAAAGCCCAGTCTGGTTTTGTTCTACAGAACCCTGGCATCTCTGACATGGGGCTGGGTTATGAACCGACAACCCTCAGTGATGGTGTTTGATGTAAAGGTTTGGTGGGTGACTCACGCTCTCTCCCTCTCCCTCTGTCTCATCTCCCCTCCCTCCCTCTCCTCCCCCTGCAGATGAACAGATGAACACAGAGGAGAAGAAGAAGAGGAAGCAGCGCAGGAACAGAACCACCTTCAACAGCAGCCAGCTCCAGGCCCTGGAGAGAGTCTTTGAGAGGACACACTACCCCGACGCCTTCGTCAGGGAGGACCTGGCCCGCCGGGTCAACCTGACTGAGGCCAGAGTCCAGGTATCAGACCCGCAACAGAGCCAGGGTTCCTTAGTGGGAAGAGAACCTTTACGGTCCAGAAGGTTCTGATGTTTGTTAGCAGTACACACACCAGATACTACTGCAGTTCTGTTCAAGGGTCCAGATCACAGTTTGTTACTAAGTCCTTAGAATCAAGTCCTTAGAATTGGGTCGTGATTTAAAACCTGACCTGTGGGACTCTACGTCTCCTCCAGCCCATCTCTGAAGTTCAGACCGTCCTCCGTTAGAAATAGACAGGACTGGGCCAGTCTGAGACCAGGTCTGAGACCAAGTCTGAGACCAGGTCTGAGACCAAGTCTGAGACCAAGTCTGAGGAGGGTCAGAGACCGGCTCTCCGTCACATGTTTGCCTTTGTTCTAAATGGTAGCATCAGTGGTTGTGACTGTGTTTACTCTTCATATTAATGCTCTGAGTGATAAGAGGCCGACAGCACGTGACCCACTTCCTCTGTCCTTCACATGGTTCCTGGTACAGCTGAGGGGCCTGGATCAGTTGTGTGGCGTCCCTGTGGAGAAGTGGATTGGATCTGATCAGTAAAGTGGACGTAATGACGTCTAATTTCCTCAGTGGTTTGGAGATCTGCGATAAACAAGCCAGAGTGTGGCTGTGAGAGGGCGAGAGAGGGGGCGAGAGAGAGAGGCTGCAGGAAGATCAGCAGCTGAATATGACGACAGTGTTGTCACTGGAACTCCAACCCTGTCAGTCAAAAAGGCATCAGATATGAGATGTATTATAACATTAGACCAGGAGCAGGTCTCCATGTGGACTTCCTGTGAGACCAAACACGGACAGTCAGTACCAATAAGACGTGACATCTTTAGTGTTAGAGATATTGAGTTGAATCGGTTGAATCGGAACCCCATCTAAACATCAAAAACATAGAATTGAGATATTGAGTTGAATCGGTTCTACAACAGCACTTGTATCTAGATTGCATTTTCCCCACTAGAAATAACTAAAAACCAATTAATTTTTCAACCCCCCAAAATATACTATTAATTAATTAAATTAACCCCATCTAAACATCAAAAACATAGATATAAACAAATATAATGATAATATAAAATAATAATTAAGAAAATATTTTATATTGTTTTTATAAAAATGGGGAAGAATAACCCAGAGAGGGACAATGAGGGAGACAGCGCCACAGTGTGGAGTGGAAAAACGGAGCTGGGTTGAGCACTGGTAACTAGATGTTTCCTCGTATCTCAAGGTAAATTTTGTGACTTAGTGACTCGTAACTTAAAAAAGTCGATCTTGAAGTTGCTGTTACTTTTGGTGGTTGATGTACATTCTTGGTTCTTGTTCTCGTTGTCTGTACTGATCATTTAAATGTAGTGCACATAGTTTCTGATACTATGGTATCACTGGTTCCTGGTTAAACTACTGAAGTAGGAAGTGTGTTTGGTAAAGTCCCAGAGAAGGTTTTTGATGTTGGCAGCTGCCAACAGTTCCAGGTTCTGAAGACAGTGTGTCCACAAGAAAAGAAAAAAACAGTTTCAGGATTCACTGTGGAACAAAGTTTTACTTGAACAGTGAAATGGTTCTGGGAACAAATGAAAAAGTCTCAGAACCCATTGAGTGTATTTTCTGTGGGTGACAGTGAACGCATCATCATCATCGGTGCTGGATCTGCCTTGGTTCCCTTTAATCAACACAGCCTCAGTATTTGCTCTGTGGGCAGCGTGAGAGCAGAGCAGAGGAAATGGTACCGATGGAGGCTGAGGAGCAGCACATCTGTGATTAATGTGAAGCAGAGCGCCTTTGATAAAAGAGACTCGCGGCCCATTCCTGAGGCCCCGCGTCAGCGGACAGCCAGACCCTCTGAGCGCTCACAGCTTCTAATAATGGATTTGATTTCACCACAATAAGGAACAACATCAGCAACCCCCCACCAGCCCCCTCACCCCACCCCAAGAGGAAGGAGAGGGTGGGGGTGAAGTTCCCAAGAATGAAGGGACTGATGATGTTTGGTAAAGAATTAGTCAACAACACAGAAACAATCAGGGTTTTGGGGTCTTACATTTTTTGGCGTTAGCAGACAAGCTTCAAGGTTTGAACTGTGTTTAAGTTGAACTTTATGTTGTGTGTAGTAGTTCCTGTGTACTCCAGTAGAGGGCAGTTAGACAGTTTCCTCCCAACAACTGAACAGTAGCTTCAATTCCAACGGACATGAAAAGTTCTAAGAAGCTAACACAAAGTGAACAGTATAACTGTGCAGTACAGCAGGGTAACACTAATTAAGATTAGCAAGTCTCGCCCCAAAGCTAGAGGAAATGACATTGTGTTGTCGTCTTCTTCTTCTCTTGTTTCCAGGTTTGGTTCCAGAACAGAAGAGCTAAGTTCCGTAGAAATGAACGAGCCATGCTAGCCAGCAAGAACGCTTCGCTCCTCAAATCTTACTCAGGAGACGTGACGGCCGTAGAGCAGCCAATCGTACCTCGTCCTGCGCCTCGCCCTAATGACTATCTGTCCTGGGGCAGCGCTGCCCCCTATAGGTGAGTCCCAAACCCATGAAACTTCAATTGAGTAATAGTTTTGAAAAAACAAAAGTTATGTTTTAAGTCTGGTTGTGGCTGTGGCTAAAGACATAAAGTAGGAACATTTCTAGAGTTTTTGAATTTCTGCTGGGATGGACTGGGTGTGATGGAGCCCATGTAGACAGTGAAGGCTGTGCACTAATGACTGCAGCCTATAAAATGAGCCACAGCTGGGGTTTCTGTCTATTACTTTCTTCACCACCTACAGGCCAGGGAGGGGAGTTAAATGGTGTGAGGTTGAAGTCCAACATGAAAGTGCAGAAGTGAAACTGGTGCTTGTTCGCCCTCAGTCTGACCCTGGTACTTTCATTTCCTGTCCACCTTCTACCTGCACATACCTGAGCTGAGCTCCTTCATCTCCTCTGATCCACCTGGACTTAGAGTCACTGCAGGCTTCAGTGCAGGACTCCCAGGTCAAAGGTCAAGTGAAGTGGACTATTGTTGTTGTACAAGGTGTGGAACCAGAAAAAACACAGAGAGTCAGAGTTTTCTGGTGTTTCTGTTCTTTTTATAGAGTCATAGAAGAACTCCTGAATGGACCACAGAAAAGTTCAGTTCTGGACTGGTCCAGATCTGGAGTCATCAGGTTTCTTCATATTAAACGCTAAATTAAATTTATCTTATGCATTACTTATGTTGGTTGTTGTGTGTTGCCACGTCACTTACGTCACTTGTTGATTGGCTGAAAGGCAACGATGAGACAACACATGTGAAAAGGCACAGGAGTCAAGGAGGAGTGCAAATGCAGTGACTTCCCCCTAGGGGGTGCACAGCTGCAGAGCAAATGAATTTCAATTCAAACTTCATTTTCACGTATAACTTTGTGTTACCCACTACAGGGCTGGAGTGGTGCCAGTGTTGTTGACCTGTGCCCTGTCCTGCTCATAGACCTCGTACCAGCAGTGGGCTGTCACAGGCCTGGTGTTTGATACTTTGTGGGTTATGTGATTCGATCTGCAATGTGGAAACTGGGCGGCTTGGGGGGGTCTTGGTTTAGGTCTGGTTGAGATGTGGCCCATATTTTAGATACCAGATGTAGGCCACATATGGCCCATATTCCTTGGCCCAATATGGGACACGTGCCTAATTTTGCTGTTATGAAGTATTTGATAAAAGCATGAACTTTATTCCAGAATCTTTCCTACCCCCGCTTTAGTTTGGCAGCTGTGTAAATACTGCAGTAAGGAGTGACTGCAGTACTTTTTTCCATGACTTTTGTGCTGGTACTTTGCCTTTTCACTTTCATGTCTCTTCACTCTGCTCCTTGTTCTCCGTCACGTAAACATCACTCTCCTGTTTCACTTGCTAATTGCATCAAATCAAAACACCATTCCTGGTTTTTCTCCCTCACCGTCACCGTCCTGTGTCAGCGTGACGGGTGCTGGACAGATCATGTGACCCTGCTGACAAGGTGATAATGTGAAAACAAACCGTATTAAATCCAGTGTGACCCCTGAAAGCCCCCATGCTACGCTACACCAGATGAAGGCGGAGGGCAGACAGGGAGACAGTGGGGCAGGAAGGAGCTGGGCAACATTTTTTGTGACTCTGGTTACATTGGTCATGATTTACAGTAAATCCTCCAGTTATGAGACTGGAGTATAAAAAGTCCAGCCCTGCGGCCACAGCTCAGGATCACAGTCCGGTTCTGTGCAGCAGCGGTGTTAGATATGGGGAAGGAGGAAGGGGAGGAGTAGAAGGGGAACATTTTATTTTTCTGAAGCAGAATTCATTCACCAGTATGTGCTGCTAACACTTGACTGTATATATTATCCTAAAGCTGGTATCCCATGCCGGAGGGGGGGCCGGTGAGAGTGCCACAGAAAATGCTGCCCACAGAGAACAAGTACGCTTTCACTTTACTACACACCAACTAATGTCTACTAATGTGTTTGAAGGAGCAGAGTTCACAGAATATTTAACCTTCGTTCATGGTCAGGGGTCAACAGGTCAAACAGGCAGAGAACATTCTAAACCCCGGGTTTCAAACCTCAACAAACAAACAACTAGACCTGGTAACAGGAAGGTGATAGAAATGAGAAGGAGGAACATTCTAGAACTGTTCTCTCAAGTATATCAACAGGTGTAGAAGTTGTTCATCACCAAGTTAACTACTGTCCAGCTTCACTGGAAGTAACTGTTATTTCATCAGCATCAACCCCCAAAACTATGTTTTAGTGCTATCCCACTGAAGCTGAGCTTCAACAGGGTTTAATACCCTCCAGGTCTACAGGGCGCTCTGAGAAGAACCTGGGATCAGACTGGGATCTGCGATCAACAGCTGGTTCTGGATGAACTAGTCCTAGAGTTGATCAGGTTCCAGTCAACTTTAGTCAACGACAGGTCAATAAGAGATTTGACCTTTGACCTGACGAGAGGACAGAGGGCCCTGAGACGTTACTGTTGTCTCAGAGACAAGTCTCTAACTAAACAACTTTCTTTTATTTTTTCATTAACTCTTTTTGAGTGAAGTTAATTTTTTAAAGCCCCGCCCACAGGCTGTTCCTGAATTAGTTCCGTGTCGCACCGATTCTTACCTGTGCTTGACAATGCAGCTTTAACATTTAGAACTCTGACCAAAGTCAGCAGTGTTCCTGAAGGCAGTACTGTGAAGTAGAACTGTACTGTAAAACTGATAACGTTTGGTGTCTGAAGGTTTTCAATGTTTCAATTTGGATGTTTTCATGTGACCTTTGACCCTTTTTGCTCCAGCTTCTTCTGCATTTCCACTCACCTTCAGTCTCTCTAACTGCCTCCTCCCCTCTCGTCTCCCAGCGCCATGGCGACCTACCCTCCCACCTGCTCCAACACCAACACGTCCCAAGGAATGAACATGGCCAACAGCATCGCAAACCTGCGGCTCAAAGCCAAGGAGTACAGCTTGAACCAGGTGCCCACGGTCAACTGAGAGCAGGAGAAGAAGGAGGAGATGGACCCAGGTCGAGGGGGGGGGGCACTCTGCTCCTACAGTCCAGCACCATCTCTTGGACAACTGTCTTTTGACCACACGACCTGGATCACCTGACTTTTCCTCCTCTTTGCTCCGGGGAAGTCTTGATAATAGTGCACAGTGGACACCAGGACACCAGGACAGTGGTGGTGGTGGTGGTGGTGGTCTCCACCTTATTTTTTCCACCTGAGCATCACTGAACTTTTTGTACAAAGAAGCATCGGCCAATCAGATGCTGCAGCCAGACATAGATCATTTTTGTGCCTGAGACTGAACTTCAGAGCTTTTCCTTCACTTTCTAAGAAGTCTTCTGGAGACTTCTGTGAGGACCACGTGGACCACGTCTTTGTCCCCTGACTGTGTTGGTGGATCAGATCAAACACCACAAATCTTCCTAATTTGACAAAGGACTGACGTTTATCATGCTTTTTTTTTTTTTTTTTACATTTTTCTCCATGTTATACCACTGACCTGCAAACATTTTGACACATTTTCATGTAATAGTCCAGTATAAAGGAGAAGCTGATGTATTTCCAAAACCAAAAGCAGTAGATTCTCCTTTTTACCTATGATAACCTTTATCTGTACCAGAATAAAAACCTTGTATATTAATAAAGAAGACAAAACTCAAGCATTTGAAGCCGTGCATCGCTCAGTGTCCACACCCCCACCCACCCACCCAGGTCTTGGGGGGGGCTCCACTCTTTCATCTGTGTCCTCAGACCAACTCTTTACGGCTGTGAGATTTGCAGCTCATCATAAAGGAAATATATGAAGGCGTACAGTAGAGTCAGGCCGAGCGTTGCTTCAAAAAAAAATGAACTAAGTGTGTTTATAGTTCAGACCATTTGGAAAGCAAAATGATCCTGGACCTCATGCACGGCCCATAAAGTGAGATTTACAGCTCGAGAACAGATTGGACTTCACAGAAACCTCAAGCTGTTCCTGCTTTGTGTGTTTTCTTTTTTCCTGATTACCCACAACTTCAAATTTCCATCTTAAAAACAGGATATTTATGAGCAGGGAAATCCTCTCCTTAATATGGAGGGGCCCCCGGGGCCTCATTTAACTCGGCGGCTGTCAAACAAGGTGTTTCTTCTCCCTGGCCCCCCGTAACCTTCACCGTCAACAAACACATGTCCACAGTTGTCCTCGCACCACGCAGCAGGGCAATAAATGTGTGGTGGTAGGAAATTGAAGCTGATTTTTCTTTTTTTGTTTGGGGGGTCGGAGGGGGCAGGGAGCAGTTACTGAGGGACTGAGGTCGGACGGGGCAGGGAGCAGTTACTGAGGGACTGTTATTATTAAAAACCCTGAGTAAAACCACCAAACTCCATTAAAGAAAAGCTAAAATGAACTTTTCCTCTGTGATATTAAAAGACAGATTCACGGTCGGACTTTTTCTTACACACATTTAAATTGTCGTCTTTTTCTGGTGAATTCAGCATTAAAACCCACAAGGGTTTGAAAACAATATTTCCTAAAACGTCTCAATCTGATCTTTGTGTTTATGATTTACGTCCACTTCTTCTTCATTGATTTGACCTCTGTGGTTCAATCAGGTTCTGCTGTTGTTGACCCACATCACGGGTCCATTAATCTGGGTCATGTTGGAGGGAGGCTGTCTTTTCTGTGCTCTGTCTAAACAAAGGGCTAGAATCGAACCCCCGACCTTCAAACTTTCTATTCTTATTTTTGCAGTTTTTAAATTTTTTTTTACAAAATTGACACACAGATTGAGTGAACTGTGGAAGCCCACGACCGTGTGGTTCCAGGATAGGGTGTCGGTTTGAATCCCACTGGCGTGTTGAGGAACCAACAACAAACACAATATGAATAATGTCAGGTCTGATTTTGTAAAGATATTTTTACCTTGTTATAATCTGAATAAACTCTGTGATTTTAGCCCATTTTTCAAAATACACAGTTTTAAGACTTGAAGTCATTTTTGGAGCCTGTGCGTCAACAGTGTCTTCAGAGAAGTGGGAAAATACGATGGTAAATAATCTCCACTTCTCACACAATTGGTTTATTTTTTCTGAAGACTTTCTGAATTAAATTGAAAACAAATCTTTTTATCCATAAATGCTGTTGATTTATTCTCCTCACACTGAAGTGTTTGATAAAGAAGGACAACAGTTCTGCAAAACGTCCGCCTCTGATTTTGTAAAGAGGAACAACAAGGAAACCTGAGAAGTGTTTTTTTCTGAGTGGAGCCTGAACTTCACATCTGTTTGAAACCTGAAAATGTCGGAGAAAACAGAAGAATCTCAGCGGACTCTTATCACTGCTGATCTGTCCTCAGCTCTAGGTCTGGGGTTTTTTTGTCCATAATATTTTTTCACATTTTATTCAAATGTCCAGAAATTTCTGGACTCCGAGGTTTGAAGTGACGTTTCCTCCTGCAGCTCATCCACAGACTGTTTTCCTGATCTGACTGTGGTATGTCCAGTGTCAGACCCCTGTCCTGCCCCCACCAACCCCAACCTCCAGCCCCCGCCATCTCCCCTGCCAGGCACCCGGTCTCACCTTTCATGGCCAGGGCCTGGACTGACCTGAAGTGATTCCAGATGTGGAGATCTCAACCCTGCTCCCACCCTTCACCCTTCACACCCCCCCACCCCCCCCCCCCCCCCCCTTCCCCCCCACGCCCCGCCGCGACCACCCCACTAACACAAGGCAACACCACTCCTCCCTCTTCCTCCACCCCCTCCTCTTCATCACCCTCACCCACCCACCCCCATCCTCAGCGGCACATCTGGAGCTCATTACAGAGGAGACAGTGAGAGCGAGGGAGGGGTGAGGAGTCTGAGAGTGCGTGCATGTGTGTATGTGTGTGTGTGTGTGTTTTAACCCTTCTCCTCTTAAACATCCACATTTTCTCTGTCTTTTAATCTTCTTTCTTTTCATTTCTCTCTTTCCATCTTTCTGCACTTCTTGCTCTGCTCTCTCACCCCTTCCACCCTCCCTCCCTCCCCCCGTCCTCCTCTCCGCCTGCAGTCATCTCCGTGCCGCTGTCAGTGCCACATGATCACAAATACTTTATTAATGAGTGGTTTTGGAAAAGAGCTTGGCTGAGAGGGGGGGACAGGAGAGGAGAAGAGAAGAGAGGAGAGCTGGGTCTGAGTGAAATACTGCACAGCTGTTAACAGTGTGTGGTTTTGGGTGAACAACCAGAAGAATGTCCCGAGATGTGGAGTTTCCACGCAAAGTCGAGTTGACGGAGAGGTTGCACTGTTTGTGTGATTAAGTCACTATTATTGCACGCTGCTCATAAACACAGATGCGAGGCCTCACTTGGACTGTGGATGAGAGATAATTAACTCTGCTCTGCCATCTCAAGGTCAGCAGCAATGACCACATGTGCAGCCACCATCGGCGCCAATGCCGGAGAGTTTCAGCGAGAGTTTTCATCTGCATATGAGGCATTCTGGGAGGTTGTTGTAGTTTAAAAAAGTCTTTTATATCACAGCGGGGTGTGTCAACCGCTTATACACATTTTCAGAACTAATTTAACCTCATTTACCTCTAACATCTACAAGCTTTGGTGTGAAATGTGGCTGTGAGTCTGTTAGGTTTAATGATTTATATCATCTATAATATATAAATATGTTCTCCAAAAACACTTCCGGTCAGGTAACTGGATACTAATGTCACTTGTCTGGACACTTTCTGTTGATCAGTGCTGTAGCTACATATAAATATATACATGCTATATATACACAGAACCGGCGCACACAAATTCAACGTTTTAGACGGAGCCACTAAATGCGACTTCGGTCCCTGTAGTACATATGCCAAGCCTATATGTGGCGCTCTTTCAACCGCTCTCTAACCTACAAACACCGGAAAACCAAAACCGGAAGTTTGGAAAAACAGAAAAGAGGCCTCAGAGCGTTCATATAAAGCTTGCGAAGTGTAAAGAAACTCGAAAATGAAGAATGAAAAGACGGAGAGGCTAACTGTAGCACACCAAGTAGCCTAACTAGCTTCTCCACCGCGGTCAGAAGGAGCACGGTCTCCGCTGTTGTTATCGCGGGGCCTGGAGCAGAGTTAATAGGTTGAACGGTTACAGAGAGGCCGGGGTGAGCGTATCGACTCACTTTGACTAAATATGGAGTTCACGTAATTATCAGCCTCACGACTTAATCCGAACGTAAGGCCGAACCGACCCTATAACTCCGGGATCCGTACAAGTGACGACCCTTTGGTCATGTGATCAAACTGGTCAGTCTGACGTCATCACATGGACTAAATAAGGTGAAGGGACTATATTCAGATTATTTTCTCTGATTCTGTTTCTTAATCGTTGGATTAACTGTCAGAGTGTTCTATAAACTGTTAATCACCCAGTGTTGAAATGAGGGAGGGAAGGAGAGGTGTGGGGGTGAGGGGAGTGACAGCATCAGACGAGCTGTCAAACCCTCTGTTTGAACCACTTTCAGGCTTTACCACATAAAGCTCACGCTATTGCTGCTCTTTCTTGGCTGTGAGCGCTGAGGCTGCACAAACATCCAACGGGAACCAAGTTCTCACAGATTCCTGGGTTTGCATTTTTGCCCTGTCTGTCAACACTATGGAGGTGTTGCTGGAAAAATCAGATCCAGCTCCAGATAAACATGGAAAGTGTAATGACTTCCCAGGCCATGAAATCACTGGCAGATAAAATGCTCATTAGTTCAGACCCTGGCGGGGGTGTGACTGAGGCCCACGTTCTTCTTCTCTTCCACAATCCACCAACAGCTGTGGTGAAGAAGCAGCATTCTCTGTAATCCATTACATCTTTTTCCTGAACTCATTAGCGCCCCCTAAAAAGGTCTTGTCAGTTTTATATTGCGTAACCCAAATGTAGAGATACAAATATGAGAAATGTATAAATAGATTATTATTATTGTTATTATTATTGTGTTGAAATGACATGAACAAAAAACAAAAAGAAAACAAATCAGACCCTGAACAGCACTTTGGCGACTGTTGCAGATCCAGACTCAGAGTGTGTATCTGTGAAACGAGGGAGGCGGCAGAGGGAAGAGAAAAATGGGAAAGACGGGGGAGAGAGGAGAGAGACTATGAGCAGGTATGCAGAACAATCTGTTAAAACTGCAGTAGTACTGCAGTAGAAACAGCTTCATCATTTGATGTAAACTAACAATGATGCTAATATACTTTTAATTGTCCAGAGTGTAGCCCCGCCCACTCCTGAGCCCCACCGGTGACCCAGAACAACAGCAGCAGATGATGAGATATGGATCAGACGAATGACGACGTTTAAAGATTCAGCTGAAGGCCACACAGTGCTGCAGTGGTTGGTGGCGTTGCCTCACAGCAGGTAGGTCACCCGTCGGTGTCCCGGCTCATCTGTCAAAGACAGGAGACCAAATGTTGGTTCTTGTGTGGAGAAGTAAAAACGACATGATGTCATAACAAATGTAAAGGCTGTGTTTTCCCACGCTGCGTGTGACACCGCCGCTGACAAAGATAGTTCTGGTGCCGTGCTGGAGGTCACTGTAATGACTGTGTGATAAATGCCTCTGGCCCGGTTTGAATGGCTGTCGCTGTGAGCGCTCTGCTCCGACATAAATGAGCGTTTTAATTCTCCCAGCGCCGCAGAGGTCCAGCAGGGCAGCAACCAAAACAACAATTATGGTGAGTGACATGACGTGAGCTCACAGACATCATGGCTGCATAATCATAGCCAGGGTTCATACACTCCCTGGTGGTGCTTGAACTATTTTAAGTGTTGAGCAATTTTTCTTTTTTTTTTTTTTGCTGATCACTTACTGGAAGTTGACTTTTTTTTTTCCAGCAGAATGAATATCACTTTGACCTGGGGAATGCGGAGAAAGTTTTAAAAATTCACACAATCTTCTGCATCTAATTTAATAGAATAAATATAGAAAAAAAATCACATACAATTTAACAAATAAATCAATAAAATCCCACTGAAATGTCTTAAAAAGTCACAAAGTAGTTTAAAATTAAAAAAAAGAAATTAATAACAGAAATATAAGATAAATACAAAGATCTTTTTAGCCCTGTCGCAGGTGGACACCCCCTGACCCACGAACTCCAACCACCACCACCTGTGACCGTGTGACGTTCACAGCAGCTCCATCTTCAACTCTCACTGTAGAGATCAGAAACCTGATTAATAATCCTATTATGGCTCATCATTTGATAACTCTTGTGTCACCATCAGAAATCTACATGCCACCATAACAGGGGACTCTGGCCCCCTCTGCTGGACATTTTCTGTACATACAAGACAACACAGAGATGGATGTTTGGGAAAAACATTACATTTTTAAAATTTCAATTGATCAATGTGTCATTATAACTGCAGTATGTATGCAGTAGGGAAAAAAACGTTAGAAGATCTCCAGTCTATCAGAGGATCTTGTACAGGCTGTATACAATAGCCCTGTCTACCGTAGGGGGCGCTGCAGAAATGTGTTGGGGAATCACTGAAGTAACTGAAATGAGGACACGATCTGAGAAATCCATCTGGTCATTTAGAGAGCGTTTCGGCCAAACATGTTTTTAAAGCTGGTAAAACGGTCTGGCCCACAAACAGGCAACACAGACACGTTATGTGGCCCACATACAGCAGTGGACACTGGCCAAATGTCTTATAGACCATTATAATGCTCATTTTTGATCATTTTTATTTTCTGTCAGTGAGGTTATCCTCCTGGTGACTCGAGCTCTGGCTCCAGCCTGGGTTTAAATCTTCACAGAAAAAGTAGCTGTGATGAGAATGAAGTCATAAAAAAAGAGCTTCATGTATGTGGATCGTAAGTCTTCATGAATCCAACCACACGACTCTGTGACAGTGGACATGTTCTCTCTCTCTCTCACACACACACACACACGCTGTGTTATTGTATTCCAATGCGGCTCATGATTGATAGCACGAGTAGAAAATCCGGCCCAGATTCTTTGCTTTGAATTTATGAGAACAGAGTCGGAAGTTGTTTCTCTGGAAAAGTGCTTCAATTATTCATTAAACAATCGATTGTGTGTGTGTGTGTGTGTGACGTGATTACTGCAGGTAAAAAAAAAGATAGAATAAGATGAGCAGCAGGACTCTCTGCTCCATTGTCTCTCCCTCTCTCTCTCCCTCTCTCTCTCTGATCACTTATTTACTTAAACATCCTTTTTTTAAAGAAGGAAAAAACAAACAGTTCCCCGGCGTGGAGCACATCAGGCACCTGCCACTTACACTAAATGGATAATTGAGAAAAAAATAAACTGTGGCCTTCGCCTGCTGCAGGCCAACTGGTTCAGTGAGCATGTGTGTGTGTGTGTGTGAGTAAGTGTGTGAAAAAGACCTGACACGACACATGTACAACCACCAGTGGAGGAAAATTGGATTCAGATTTTCCACGGCAGACGCCGATGCCAAATTGCACATTTTGGACGAGGGAATTAGTTCTGGCACAAGATGTGACAATGATATTCATTTCAGTTTGAGGCTTTATAACAGCCATGCACACACACACACACACACACACACCAAATGAAGCTAAACTATTAGGGAAAACTCCGACTGGCTTCAAAGAGGAAAAAGAAACATTCCTCGTCTCCTCGTGTTCAGGCAGAGATCAAAAAAAGGAGCTTCTCTGAGTCAGATCCAGTTTGTTCTGGAATGACTCAGACCTGATATTTTTTTTAAATGTGTGTGGACACAGAGCCTAAACACAGATGGTTTTCCCCTGGAGTAGAGCGAGGGTGAGATTTTAGAAAACCTTATTCTGTTTCCTAAACATTAGCAAATGAAGAAAATTATGCAAAAAAAACAAAAAAAAAAAAAACAAAACAAGGTATGACCTCAACAACCAACATCTTTTAGGTGCATACTGCCACCTTCTGTATTTGAGTGTGCAGTGTCATGGTATGACCAGTGACTCTGAGATAACGAAGCCGACTCCTTACGCCTTCATGTGGGATTCAATTTAACCGATGATAATTGTCACAGATTTGTACCGATGTTTAACCTGAGTCACGATGCATCGTAACATCTCTACCTTTAACGTTAATGCATTTAACTTTTTGTCTTTAGACTGTGTGAATTAAAAGTCTAATTTGGATTCTTGGGAAATGAATGTTTAAAAGTGATACTGACTGACAGACTGGTGAGATCTAGTTTTTCGTTTTCCTCTTTGTGACAGATGTGACTAATGTTAAAATGTATGTTCTGGAGAATACAGTAATACATTATAAATATATAAATACAATTCATTTTCTCCTGGGACCGGCCCGAGTGTGGACGTCGTCTCAGTTCTGTTTGGTCTTTTCCTTTGACTCATCATCTGTCAGTCAGGACGAGCTCTGAATTATTATCTGTCTTCCCCAGAAGGAGAAGAAGGAAAAAAAAGAAGAAGAGCTCCTCTTCATCGCTACTCTCCCTGCTCTGCTCATTATTTGGCAGATTTTTGGAGTGTGTTTCTGTGGAGGCTGCAGAGCGAGGCGGACCGGCAGGCTGCCCTACGAACACAGTAAATCCACAGAGACAGCAGGGATGATGGGAGCGGGAGGAAAAAAAGGGACAAAAACACAGCCATTCCAGAAGAGAAAAGACGACTTGGACCCAGAATGTGAGTGTTTTTTTTTATTTTTAAACATTAAAGAAATACTTGACCTCATCTGTTATTCTTGCTCTAATCCAAGAACCGTAATGGTCCACAGAAGGATCTGGCCCACGTTCTACAAAAGTTTGAAAAGAAATTATTATTACTATTATTATGACACAATGACCATTTATGGCTCATGCCCTCGTTTGTTATTGTTTCTCATTATGCTGATGACACTGATGTTTATCTCTAGTATTAGTTCAATATTTACAGGAAATTTGGCTTTTGTGGAGAGTTTGGCTGATATGTGGCCCACAATCTGGAAACTGTATTAAGATCTTTGATATATGAAGTAAAATTGTTTTGGTTTGCAGTGGTGTTAAATACAGAGGTGAAATGATGGGATGTCAGAGTGGAAATCTGCAGATCTTTCAATTCTGTGTTTCTTTGCATTGACTATGTTGGCCCATAGGTGGCACTTTATCTATCTTCATTTGTTTTAATAGCAGATGACAAATGTGTGTTTGCATTACTGCCACCTGCTGTCTGGATGTCCCAGTCAGTGACAACAAACCGATCCTGCTTCTACCGCCTAAATACAACCGCAGCAGGACCAGTGTAGCCAACCAGGTGTGACCATTATTTTAACTTTTGAACGATGGTCCCAGGGTTTGTACCTGGACTATGGACTACATCTGAGCCAAACTTTAATCAAATGTTTCCCAGTTTCAGCTCCATGTCCAGTCAGACTGTCCAAACATATAACCAGAAAAACAGGCGTTTGAAGTCTGTGGCCCACAGTTGCGGTTGTGGCCCACAGCTGCACCAAACTAATTTGGCCTCATGAGAATATTTTCCCACTTGAACCTGAACATCCAGTGATGTTGGCAATGAGCGCCCCCGCCTTTGAAAACTAGCCAGAGGATTGATTTTGGAAATATGTTGACCATGGCAGTGGTCAGACCTGGGCTGGACTGAGCAGCTGGGTAACATGTGTCTGGTCTAAAGGAACTCAGAGTTGGACCGAGGCTCTGACAGATGTGGAGTTCTTTTATCAGTACCTCAGCTCAGACATGAACAGTTAGAACTGACCGCAGCAGGAACATCACACACTCCTGACACATTCAAACAAACACGGTCGCAAAGTGACCAGAGGGGCGGCGCTAAAACAAAAAGCAAGGTCCTCACCAGTATAGATACACCACACGTTCACACATTTCTAAAGGCCTCATTGTGGCCTGATGGGAAATGTTGGGAGTTAAATGTGTAATTAGTTCATGTTGATGCCTGCAATAGGATGTGCAGTTCAGCATTTGGCCACCAGGTGACACAGCAGCAATGTTTAGCCAATCGAGTTAGATGAGAGCAAAAGGCAAGGAGTGAAGGTGACTGTGGAGTCTGAGTCTGAAGTGTTCTGTTGTTTGAGGATTTTTTAGTTATATTTAATATGCTTTATATTTTATTTTGAGGGTTTTTCTTTGATAAAACCAGGAAGTCTGAGTCCAACAGAGAGACTTCAGACACCCATACTGTGGGACAGAGTCTGACATATGGGTCATTACCTCACCCCTCACTTCAGGGACTCCCTCATCTATTTACCCTGTGAATGTGTCACCCCCAGGCTGAGGCACTTGCCTAACACCCCCACCCCCCGCCCCCGCTCCCATTTGACATGTAATCATTTAAAAGTCATACCCAACAGTGACAACAGGGATTCTCCTTTTATGTCCGAGTTGGTTTGAGGGAAGGGAGGGGTCGGGGGGACGGAGGGGGGATTCAAACTATGTGTTAAAAGCCAATCTACATTTTATTGGCTGTGGGGGTTGGGACGTGGGTGTCCTCTCTCTGCAGTCAGCCAATGAGATGAAACGGGAACATCATCACCATCTTCATCTTCATCATCATCATCAGCAGCAGCAGCAGCATCTCTCTGACTCCACTCTGCTCTGACTGTGGCGTCATCATGACTGCTGCTGCTGGAGGCTGGATGTTGGACGCTGCCTGGTGGATGTGTAGGATGCGGAGCTGAGGCGGAGGATCAGTGGGACCTGGAGATGAGGCTGCGTCTGTAAATAACAGGGTAAGAAACAACAGTGGTCTGCTGGGGGGGGGGTTCGAGTTCTGGTTTAAGTCTCATAAGAACAGACGGTCTACTTCAGTGTGAGTCCAGAATCTGGTGGAGTCTGGACGTGGACCCGTTCGGCGTCTGAACCTGACCTCCAGTTCTTTTAAGGTTCACAATGAAACAAGTGAATCATTTACTGCTGTGTCGGCAGAAATTCTGCTTCAGATCAGTTACATTTACAGAGAAGAGCTGTTCCCTCTGCAAACTCCAGTCATGATGATGATGTTGATGATGATGGAGGTTGAAATGTGACCCAGTTTGTCTTCTAACATTGTCTGTTGTTGGCCGGTGTCAGTTGTCAGTCTGGGGTCTGTGAGTGTTTCCTCCACATTATTGATTTATTGATTGATTCATGTCTTCTGAGGTGATGATCAGGAGATCAGACTTCCTGTTGACTCTCCATATCCATCCCAGAATAACACACTCATGTGACAATTAAACAAAGATGTGGCTAATTTATGGATTTTTTTAGCAATCAATGACTTTTCTGGTAAGCTACTGTGTGTTGTACTGATAGTGTATGTCTGTCTCAGGATGGCTGTGTGCGTATATGCGCATGGGGCACGCGAGACAGAGAGCGTTAGCGAAAGTTGAGAGCAGGTTGTTGTTTATACAGGAGCTGTTAGAACACTGTTATGTTCTGTTGTCCTCAGTGTGGCTGATACTAAACACTGAGACTTCCAGAAACTTCCCTGTTTCTGTTTACCTCTGCTGCGGACAAGCACAAAGTGAAGGGAGTTAGCCCCGGATTCCTAGATTTCCTTGTTCTTTTTTTCCATTTCCTGTTTTATTTTGTAGTCTGATTCATTTTCTTCTTCCACTTCCTGTCCTGTTTCCTTTGATTGTTTGTATGTCAGTAGTCTGCTCTGTCTGTTGTCACTTCTCACCGTCTCCTCAGGCTTTAGTTTTGGAATTTTCAGTTGTGACTATTTGGAGTTAGTTTTTAGAATCGGAGGCTGATCACAGATCAGCTTCTGCTTCCTGCTAGTGAAGATGTTCATTCAGCAGTTCATCCTCTGAACTGTGTGTGATGACAGCTGTCCAAACAGAGGGGACAGCCAAACGTCTGGAGAAAGATTAGAGAAGAAAAGAAGGGCGGGTGGATGGAGGGTGTGGTTAGGGTAATGGTAGGGTGCAGCTCTGCTGTCACCCCCCCCCCCCCCCCCCCCCCCCCTCCTGTCTCTTCTGCTGCTCTTTTTCTTGTCTGAACTGCTCGGTGTTTACCTGAGACCCGTCCCAGAACCTTCAGTTCTGACCCAGTCTGGGGCTGACACCAGTCTTTTGTCCTCGGCTTCCTCACATTCCTGCCTCACATTCCACACATGCAGCAGCTTCACTCACACCTGCTAGAGGGACAGGAGGCATGTGGTCCTGCAGGTGTGGACCAAAGAGGCAGTGGGGTACTTCTCATGAACCAAACAAGTTATGTAAGTCATCCAGCAGCAGCTGGTCAGCGCTGGTCCAACCCGTCACTCTGACCTGTAGACATGTCATCTCATGTTGTTAGACACAAATATGACATTTTTCTACTTCAGATGTAACATTGGACCAAGTGTTCATCTGGGTCTGAGAAAGGGTAAATAAAGGACCCTGTGTTTCCACATCTAAACTCTGGGTCACTCTGATGTGGGCCACAAGCTTGAACTAGCTCTAGCTTTTGAGGTTTGTGGCCCAGAGTCCAAACACCAGATGTGTGGGCCACCGCTATTCACTGCTGTAGACTCTTTTCCATCTGTGCTTTTATGGGCTGGGACTTCTTCTAGGCCCCAGCCAATGTGGACTAGACCACCATCTATAAGGTAGTCGTGGACTGGGCCAAATCCCCAGATTTTCTCCCCCAGACTTCTGCCCTGTCATGACTGGGACGTGTCCTGTCTACAGTAGGATCCTAGACTTTGTGGAAGCACCAACCGTCTCCATACCCTGTATTACCTGCTCCAACATGTCTGACACACACTCCCCGGCAGACTGGGGGTGGGGGCGCTCACATGAACACACATGCCTGTGCTCCACCCTGCCTGTAAAAAACACCTGAGGCGCAGGAAAGCGTCCACTGACAGTTGAGTGAGTGTTTCACAGGAGTGGACAGGAACTGTTGGTTCTGCTCGCCTCCGTTCAGAGGTTCTGCTGCTGCGGCGTCTGTTTTGGAGCGTGCTGTAACAGATCGCTCTTTCATGCTGCAGCAGGCTCTCTGTCTGTGTGTACCTTAGCTCCCGGCTGCTGTTTACCTCCTCTCTCCTCTCTGCTCAACTCCCTGCCACGTCAAATGAGCGCCTGGTTGCTTGGCTCGCTGTCGGCCCGAAGAACCCTGACTGTGGTCAGCCCGCTCCATGTGTGAGGAGTCAGAGTCAGACGGGACGGGAGTGAAAGAGTTTCCGACTGACAGAGTTGCAGTGTTAGAAGTTAAAAGATGTGTTCAAGGCTGAGGAGACAGGAAGACTGAGGACTCACCTGAGGCTGGGGGAGACCGTGGTAGAAGAGAGGAGCTGCTGCTGCTGCTGCTGCTGCTGCTGCTGCTGCTTCATGTCTTTGACTTTGAACACACGCAGCTGAGAGATGAGTGGGTTCCTCTACAGAGGAAGGTACGGTTCTGAACAGTTCCAGCTCCAGGGTTTGATCTGGTGGATTGTTTGGGTTCTGAGCTGCTGCATGGATGGGCATATGTTTGTACAGTACATGTGTGTACAGTACATGTGTGTACAGTACATGTTTGTACAGTACATGTGTGTACAGTACATGTACTGATGTCTCTGAAGTGAACATTGATTTCTTTGTTCTAATTTTTTTTCTGTGCGGTTGAACAAACTTAAAGATACCTTTAAGTGTCCTAGTCTTCTTTGGGCTTTTGTTTTTGCCTAGCTTTAGCCTATTTTGATTCACTTTTGTTTTGCTAATGCTTTGTTCTAAACATTATTTCTGGTGAAACTTTCAGATATTCTTTGACTCCTTGGCTAATTTAATGCTAAATTAGCCGTTGTACCTCACTGTGTTCTCGACTTTTGGGCCATTGTCCACATTAGTATGTTACTTTTACATGTGATAATTTCAAGATGTAGCTCGGCTATTTTTTTTAGCACCTTCTTTGCTAGTTTTAGCAAAGTGTGTACTACCTCTAACTAATTATTTATTTTATAAAGTTTTTCTTTTTTAATCATATTTTTTCGCCCAGTCTCACCTTTAATTTTTATTCTTCAACTGTAATGTAATGTAATGTAAACAAACGAAGTTAAAAACTGGGCTAGCCTCAGGGTGTTACTAGCATAAAATTGTGTAACTGGTGCAGCAACATTTTCAATGTTTGTTTTTCTTTAATTTGACTGAAAGGATCAATGACACAAATTCTCTGACATGAAGAGAAAGTGTTTGAAAAGCAGCTCATCTGTACTGAACAGTACTAAACGGTACTGACTGGAGAGAATTTCACCTTCAGTTTTTTCACATATTTAAATCTGTATCCACATTTTAAAAAAATGGAAACTGAGCTGAGTTACACATAAATACCCTTTTTTTCTGGACTGGTCTTATCTGGCAGCAGAGTACTGAACTGTGAGCCAGCGTTACATAAGACTCCAGGCTGCAGCCTGCTTGACTGACAGTGATTGGCTGAACCTCTAATTAAACTGAACCTTCAATTAACTGTTAGCTAAACACACAATAATCACAATGATCTCTTTAAGCCTGAGACTTTGATACAGACTTCAAAAATTTTTTTTTTTTTTAACTTTTTACTTTTTGTTTTCGATTTTATGTCAGTGACCGAAGATTTAAAAATCTTTACTCATGTTCTTTAATTCGGTGCAGATACTTTCCATGAAGTTGAATTCCGTTTCTACTGTGTTAGTGTTTTGGTGATGGGATCAGAGTTGGAAACAACTCCAAGATTTTTCCTGTTCTTTGTTGTTGGTCTGTAGACACAGACAGACTCAGGTTCACAGACCATCAGGTCTACAGCCAGTGTTTGGTTAGTTTTAAAAGTTCTACTGATGCATGAACTCTATAGTCAGCTGACGACGAGCATCAGCACATGAGCAGAACAAATGCTGACCCCACTCTCTCAGCTGCTCATTTCCTACACTGTCACCTCCTCCTGCTCCTCCAACTGTCCTCACCGTAGTTCTGGCCTGTGGGGGGCAGGGGGTCTCTGTGGGACACCGACACCTGGGTGGTCACACACTGGTTGCCCCTTGTCGTGTCCTGAGGTTGTCATTAATGAGCTGTTGTCGGCTGCGTCTTCACTCTTGATTATTAATGAGAGCACGTGTTAATTAGAGGAAAATCAAGTTAGCGCTCCACAGGTGTTTGAACTGCTGCTCCTCTACAAAATAAAACGAAACATCAGCTTTACCTGAACTTTCTTATAGTCAACTCTGAAAAAATGCAATCAAATAACAAGAAAAAAGGTTGTTGCTAAGTCACCGACGTTGATTGACTTTAGTTTTGCTATTGTCTGTTCTTTGACAGTTAATCATCTTATAAAGTGGATGAAGATGTGAGCAGTAACTGAAACAGTGAAGATAAAATTCTGTTTTTTTAAACTCTCTCTCAGACTTCTCCTCTTCTCACCAAACTCTGACCAGTTGTTGGACAGATTCCTTCAGTCTGCCTTTGTTTACTGTGTGTGCAGCCGTCAGTTAGGAGTGTGTGACTTTTTAAAGCATGCGCTGACTCAGTGTGTGTGTGTGTGTGTGTGACATGTTAGTGGGAAAACACTCACCTCCTGGTTCTCCCTCAGCTCTGCTCCTCCTGTCCTATTTTCAGCTCATGTGTTTGAGTCACACTCCCAGTGACACAGACTGCACCGTCTGTAGGTGAAGAGGAAAAACTGACCTCAGATCAGGGGATCAGGAGCAGTGTGTGTGTGTATGCTGCTGTGGAGGAGGAGAACACACACACACTCACACTCACAGGACAATGATGGCTGTAAAGACTCTGGACTGATGGCTGTGTCTTCTTTCAGGCACTGTGCTGCAGAGAAACGGGTCCGACCCAAGAGCATCGGACCCACGATGGGTGAGTACCACCTCCTTCTCTTCAACCTCCTCCTCTTCAACCTCCTCCTCTTCATCCTTTCACACCACGATGGTCTGTGGATCTTGGTTATAAAATGTCACAGTTTCTTTAACCCTCGGGCTGAGCATGTGACATGGATTTGATTAGACCAGGTTTGTTTACAACCACAACAGGGAGTGTAGTCTGGGTCAGGCACTGTAGTCTGGGTCAGGGTCTGTAGTCTGGGTCAGGGTCTGTAGTCTGGGTCAGGGACTGTAGTCAGGCCTGGTGTTTTTGTGTTTTTACTCAGGGATCAGAACTAATAACTTCAGTGGATTGTCATGACTTGGGCTTCTTCTGTTTGGATCTGTTGGCTTTCTTTCTCTTTTACCCAGCATGCATTGCACATTCCCTCTCTGGTTGACTGGCTCACATTCACACATTTAGGGTGAACAATCACTCCATCATTGCTCTGCATGTTTTTGGACTACGGGAGGACACTGGACAACCTAGGGGTGTGCCCTCACCCTCCTTGACCCTGCCCACCCACAGGGAGAACAGTTACTGTAACTGGTAACTGGTGTAAAGTCTAGCTGTAAGACAGTGGCCCTAACCACCCTGCCACCTTGTGGCCCCAAACACAAACATCACATTGGAAATTCAAAGTCAAACTGTCTGTCTGTGTGTGTGTCTGTGTGTCTGTGTGTGTGTGTGTGTGTGTGTGTGTGTGTGTGTTTTAGTCAGGTCACATGACCTTCCTGTTGGAATTCTCTTCTTCTCTGTCTGCTGTGTGTTTGTTAAACACTGAATCCAGCCGTGAGTTTACACTGAAACACTGCTGCAGGCTGACCTTGGCTTTTTATTGTTTACCAGCGTCTGGATAATTAAAGAGAGAGGCCTGAGGCTCCAGGTCACAACAGAGGAATAAAAAACCTCACTGAACAAAAGGTTTGTCTTCAAATCTGTGACATTTGTCACTCACTCAGTCTGACTGGAAACCAAACACTGTGTGACCTTCACCACAGTCCACAGGAAGTGAGGCGAACCAGTGCTTTTATTTGTTAGGACTCACCTTAGTTCAACTTAGGCCTCAGTTTCTTTGCAAGTTTTTCCACACACTTACTTTAGGGGGCAGCAGTGGACCCCAGTGCAGAGAGAATGAGGGGTTTGAAACCTTGTTTTTACTCAGACTTCAGTTCGGGTCACGTGGTGCATTCAGGGTCTGCGCACACACACACACACACACACACACACACACACACACACACACACATACACACCTCTACCTAATAACCCGTATTCACACCTGGGGATAATGAAATAACGTCCTGACTTCAACCCAAATCATTAGATACATTTCTATCTTGTGACATCATCAGTTTTTAAATGACTGTTGAACTAATTTGTCATCATGACTGAAACACTCCCAGTGTTCCCTCACAGATACAGCCTCGGACGGTGTCTGTGTTCTGGTTCCAGTACCAGAACCTCATTCCTCTCAGTGCGGTGTAATGTGTTGTACCTGGGCCCGGTGCAGGCGTAGCAGCATTAGCATCTCAGGCTTCCATCCAGAAGATCTGCTACCTTCAAGTAACAGCAGCTTCTTAATAATATTTAATGTGGTGTAATTTAAAAAGAGCCGTCAGTGGTTGCCAAGTTCTCCTTAATGATGCCCCTCTGGACCGGCTCCGACACACACACACACACTTCACTCACACTTCATGCCACCCCTCTTGACTGGAAACCCATTGGTCCTGGGTCTGAAGGAGACAGACTCAAACTATTGGTTCAAATCCCTCCTGTTTGGATGTTCCTGGGACTGTTCCTGGATCAGTGCAAAGCTGAGGTTCTGCTCTCAGACACCTGAGGCCTCTGGAACTGTTTCAGCTGGATCAGATTCTGTGTGTGTATGAGAGGATACGACTCGTTCAGATCCGGGGTTAATGAGGTTGTAATGAAGCAGCAGAACATCCTGAGGTGTTTATGTTTCTGATGGACTGTTGGTTCTGCTCCAGGGAAGTGGATCAATCCTCAACTCAGGACTGGATTTATTTTCAGCAGAAACAAACATTTCTTGTTCCACCTCCATGAAGATCCTGGTGTTTCTTCTCCATCACTGTTTGATGTCCTGTAGCTTTGTCAGAGGATTCACAGGAAGATCTGCAGCAGATGATGAACATCTACGGTTTCATGATGACCAAACAAATATGTCCCACTGATGAAGACTCAGTGATGAACCTGGAACCAACCCAGGGTTGACCTTGAATAGACCTCAGTGGAGACACATCATTGGAGAAGACGGTTCTGTTTTTCTGAGGTGAAGAAAACACTGAGACGGAGAAGTGTTTCCATGGACACATGTATGTCAGTACTGTTTATGTTAGTACTGTGTATGGCAGTACTGTGTATGGCAGTACTGTGTATGGCAGTACCTCTAACCATCAGACCATAATGTTCAGGTCAGGACAGACCAGTGTCATTAGTGGTTTTAGAGGGAGGACCAGTCTTGACAGTCTGACAGTTTGGGGTCTGTCTCCAGGGGAAACACTTACAGTAAAGAACCAACGCCACAGGACGGTTCCCCAACAGGAACACAGAAAGATGGTACTAAATAAAGCACCATTGTTCCTGCTGCACAAAGTGAAATAAAGGACCCAGTGTTGTCACCTGCAGTGGTCTTCCTCTGAGAGGGTCTTCCTCTGAGAGGGTCTCCAGAACACAGTCCACCACGTCCTCTCATGGTCCTGTCTCGGAGGGGAATTTAAAAACCTCAGACCCATGTCTGGTCCTGAACTTTCCTCAGGTTTAGCTTACAGGAAGCTCCGGGTTCTAGTCCGGTCATTTCCTGCAGTGGAAACTGGCGATTGTGGTCAAAACGTCTGAATTCTTTTCTAACTTTTCTTTAATTTCTGAAGACAGAGTTTAGTTTGGTTGGTTTTGTTAACCGTTGGTTACTTTTTCTGTCCTTGCAGATTATTCATGTGACGGAGTGGATAAAGGACCGACACTTCAGATGCACAGCCTCAGAGAGTACGAGCAGGTAAGAGCCCTCAGGGTGGGAGGGGCCGAGGGTTGGGGGGGGGGGGTCCTGGTGTCAGTACTGATTGTAGGTAGGTACAGTAGGTGTGTTTACTCCCCTGGTGTGGAAACTGAAACTCTGAGCCAACAGCTCTGTGTCATTTCTGTCCTTGCCCTTCCATGTGAGCCTCGCCCCTCTGTTTTGACAACCTGATTCATGCTCAAGGTATGTAGTCATAGGTCACCAAACGTTTTGTCCCAATGATGAATTTCTAAATGTGTGGTGAATGAAACAGGACAAGGTCAAATAATGCAAATAAAGGTCAGAGGTCAAACAGTGACAACACATTCTACAGAAGCTAAGGCCGATGGTTTGATGTCATTTACAAGTATGCTTGTTTTTTTATTTGGGTTTTTTCTAGTTTTCCTGAGACCAACCAGTACCAAAGATTTTTGTTAATCTTTGTTCAGTAAAAAGGAAACACATTTTTAAATGTTACTAATTTTTACTACTAACTGGCTTTCCACCTGGTTTTGTTAAACTGGTTGCTTAATTCTTATGTGAGCTCTGGCAACCATAATTAAGGTGTCAGTGAATGGTGTCTTTAACAGCAATATTAACATTCATGCAGGTGAATCATTTGCTGTGGTTCTGTTGATGGTCAGTGTGGTGAATGCCTTCCCACTCAGGTCAGGTGATGAGTTCTAATCCCTCTGACTTCTAATACCTGCTGTGATGATCCAGTACTTCCTGGACTGGATCATCACAGCAGGTATTAGAAGTTACTGCAGGCAGAGTAAGGTAAAGACACACAGTACTGTTAGAAGTTGGACCGAGTCCTCCTGGATGAAAAACACTTCAATAATGATCCTCCAACTTGGAGCCAATGGGTTTTTTTTTGTTCCTAGTTCTGGTTCTGTACCACAGTAATGGGTTCTGGGAACTCTGCCTGGTGCATTTTTGTATCTGACATAATGTTAGCTGCAGTGACTTGGTTTCACTGTGGGTGAAGAACTCAGAACAGCTGTGAGGAGGGGATTACAGCAGTACTGGGCCGGGGAAACATCCACAGCTAGAACTTCTAAAGTCCAATGAACTTTAACTTCAAACACTAGAAATCCTGCAGAACTAATGCTGCCACTGATGAGAATAGTGGCCCCGCCCCCTACTTTGGGAAACTTTGCTTTTTAGCATTTTAACCATTACTGGTAATGATTGTTGAGTAATCGATCACTAGGGGACTGTTCAGTGTTTGGGCAGAACCACTTGGCCATGGATCCGGTTCAGATCAGGTCCTGGTCCAGGTCTCCTCATGGGAGAGTTGATTCCAGTCAGACTAAAATGAGGACATTATTATTGGTTGCTGTATCATATAAAATTTAGACCTAAATATTTCACCATGTTATTAATGATATCTGTTCTGATTGGCTCGTTTCTTCAATATGACCACACTGTTGCCCAGTATAGTCTTTAATTTACACTGACGACCACACGGTGGAACAGTGAGTAGTGGTCTTGACTTACAACGAAATGGTCACTGATTGGATATGCAGCTGTGGCAGATTGACCCTGAGGTTAACTGTTCACACTGAATTGACCACTGGTGTGAATGTGAGTGTGAACTACACCTGGTCCACTGAACCTGGACCAGTGTAAACCAGGGGAATGAATGAAGTAACATTTGAATATTTTTGACATGAGAATGAACAACATAAAGAGTAGGTGAGGTGTTAGAAGTCCTAAACTGGTAACTCCATATCCTTCAGGTCAAACTACATCTGTACTAAACTTCTTAGACCTCAGAAAAACAAACCGCGGCTTTGACTCTAATGGATTTTGGACGGACGTCAGAGCGGTGAAAGTCAGAAAGTGAGAAATGAGAGGAGAAAAGTGTGTAAAAACCCAAGTCACAGGTCAGGACTCCAGCGTGTGATTTATCTGATTCCATCTGACGACTGCAGTATTTACGCTTCAGCCTCTCAGCCGTTAACAAATGGAAACAACTGATTTGAGTGTGGAGCGCGAGGCCGTACAGTCGGGCCTTGTCTGAGAGACGTCCACATCCTGACGGAGCAAATTAAAGTTTGTTGACCTTTCTTTGCCACCGTAGTTTCACGTTAAGCTTTTCTGACAGTGGTAGTGAACGTTGGTCCTCAGATCTTAATTGAACAGTCTGGATTATTGAATCCAGGTTAGGTTTAACTGTTTGTGTGTGTGTGTGTGTGTGTGTGTGTGTGTGTGCATGTTCCACATATGCGTTTGTTTGAAGGATCGATCTTTTCCAAACCTCTGGTTGGAAGAAACCTGACGCTGCCAGAGCTGCATTTGTAGCTGTCAAACTTCCAGCCTGACTCTGTCGTCCTGAGGTTTTTGAAGGCAAAGAAAAATCGTCCAATCAAAATGGCCCTCTCACAAATGGCCTTTATTAGTCCACAGCAGAAATTGAAAGCACATGCTCTACTATAAATGTGAATTTGAACCGACCACAGAGACACTTAGATTGATAGAAGGGGGGGGGGCTGCATATAATTTTGGCCATTAAAACCTCAGGACAAATTAGGGTTGTTAATCTGTTATTTTGCCCTTCGTCTCTGTCTTCACTTCTCAAAAACCACATGTGCCATGAAAGGTCCGTCAGAGGGGGAGTAAAGGCAGCAGTGTGGAGCAGGGAGACGGATGGTGGTGCGGCAGGGAGACAGACAGGGGTGCAGCAGGGAGACAGACTGGGGTGCGGCAGGGAGACGGATGGTGGTGCAGCAGGGAGACAGACAGGTGCAGCAGGGAGACAGACTGGGGGGCAGCAGGGGGACAGAATGGGGGGCAGCAGGGGTGGAGCAGGGAGACAGACAGGTGCAGCAGGGAGACAGACGGGTGCAGCAGGGAGACAGACGGGTGCAGCAGGGAGACGGGCAGGTCATGTGATTCTGCAGCTGAACATCGACGTCTTTCTCCTTTCTTTTTTGTCCTCTGGCTCTGAGCGTTTTCTTCTTCTTTTGTTGTGGGGACTTCAGAGAACAGGTCAGCGAGCACTGTCAGGCTGTGACATCGCCGCTGCTGATTGGCTGGCATCTCCAGCACCGATAGTTAGTCACGAGGCAGACAAGTGGAATTAGCCACACTAATAAACTGTCAGAGAAAAAAGAGTTGACTCCTGATGAAGGATGAAGACTGAGGAGGTGGTCTTGGGGGGGGGTCACAACTGTCAGAGGTCGTTGACCTTCATTACTAGTTACTGACTTATCTGGTCTCTAAAATGAAGAGAAAAACAAAATAGTGCACCCTGCCCCTCAGTGGTATGTAGGAGGCATTGCATGGGCTACGTAAGACTGTTCTTTCTTTTCTTTTTGTTTTAAATGTTTGTTTAAAGATAGCAATTATTTGTTTTTTTATTTAAATGAATCTAAATATGAATCAAGTTTTTGTGTATGACCTAATTGAAGAGTAGAGACTGAAAAAAACAAAAGACTCACACACTCTAGATGTTTCAAGTGTCAGACAGAGATGTTTTCACTAGACGTCCAGTGAAGGAGCAGTGATGAGGAGTTTAATGGACGCAGTGACGACCGCAGGGGTCGGTTTACACTGCTGCAGCAGCAGCGGCAGCAGCAGCAGCAACAGCAGCAGCAGCAGCAGCAGCAGCAGCAGCAGGAGCAGCAGCAGCGTGGCTGCAGATCAATACCCAGGAGCTCATCTTTCAGCCCAGGACATACAGCATTAGGCTTCATTCACTAGAACACACACACACACATCGCTCTGTCTCCACACATCACGTCAGACCATTCACTGTTTCATTGTTTACCTCCTCTAGTTTCTGTATAATGTGTTTCACTGCACAGCACCAGCGCCATCATCTGGACAGTACCAGACACGGCCCGACCCTGTGAGTGGCTCAGAGGCTGTTGTTAATTGGTCCCAGGCCTGAGCAGTAGATCTGTGCTCCTCTCTGCCGGGTCAGTGAAGACATGTTGACTTGATCAGGGCGTCAGTCATGGATGGTAATTGTTGAGTTAAAATGTTCGCTAATCTGCCCCCCACCCCACCCCCCCACCCTCCAAGTCACAACATTAACTCTATCTCTGAGTGTGCATGCACGTTTACACACGTGCACTTGTCTCGCTTTGGTTCCTAGAAAGTGTCAGAGAAGGACGAGTAGGACCGAGTTACCATTTAGCAGAACCTCTCTCTCTCTCTCTCTCTCTCCCTCCCTCCCCCTCTCTCCCCCTCTCTCCCCTCTCTGTCTCTGTCTCCGTCTCCGGACGACATCTAACAGTTCTTGTGAAGCGCCACATGTGTGGAGCAGACCTCATTTTCTTCCCTCTCCACATACCAGAGAAAACTTGCCAGAAATGAAGGAGGAAAATTTATGTTTTTAAAAAGAAAAAAGTCCAAAGTTGGAAGTGAACACAGCGACTTGTCATCGTTTACTTCTCAGGCAGTTTTACTGGAATCATCGTATTAGACTGAAGTGTTAGAAAATGAGAAGGGGCGGTGGGGGGTGGGGTGTGACAGGTGCTTTTATGGGGTACAACAACCCTACGTTGAGTGAAGAAGACTCTAAGTGGATTCATCTCTGGCAGAGAGTTCATGTGTTTCAGCAGCCACTCGTTCATCCATTAGTCATGTCTCACTGTTTGCCTTCAGTTTTTAACACACACTCCAATTTTTGAATTTTTTTTAACTTTTTTAAGCTGAAGCCGCGTCCTAAAATGTGCCTCTGAAAAGTTTAAACTTCAGCAGCCGTGACTTCCATGAAGTTCCACAGAACAAGTGTCAACTATGAAAAGACCGAAAGTCTCAGTTTCTTTAAAACACAGCAGGAGTTCACTCCTCTGCCCTGGACACACTCCTCACCTTGTCAAAATATTTTCCCTCACCAATGAAACGTTGGAATTGAACCATCAAACCTTCTGCCACATTCGTGGCTGCGGTCCTAGTGGAGCCGGACCTCCACAGAAACGTGTCAGTGTTCACACAGAGGTGGAAACAGAGGTCGTGACGAGGATGCAGGGCAAACGAGACGT